GGTCGAAGGTTTAGAAGATTCATTGCCTTCTCCTCTGGCCTCATCCTTAACATCCTATCCACTCTCAAGTCTGCTGGCTCCATCCCCAAACATCCTCAGTATGTTCACTTTTCCCATCAGTGCCGCTAACCTGATTCCAAGCCATGACCATCTCTCACGTGGACTCGGCTATTTGCAATTCATCCAACGTGCCATTCTGTCTTCTGCTTCCACATGAAAAAAAATTTTTTTTTTAAATCCACACTGGAGGATATTTTTCCCATTGCTTTTCACATAGAGAGGGACNGGAGGCAGGCTCGCTGATGGACGAACCACCCGGGCAGCCGGGGCGGCGGAGGCTGGCGGGCAGGGGCGTGGACCAGGCCCACGGAGGAAGCAGGCGCCGGAGGTGCCCGGCGGACCCAGTCAACCTGAGCCCGGCTTTCGCCGTCTCGCAGGTGACGGCCGGTGGGGGTCCCAGCCCGGGCCTGCCCCGGTGGCCGTCTCCCAGCGGAGCTCAGCGCGGAGCTGGTACTCTCGGGGCGCCCTCCACTCAGCGCTGGGGGGGGCGAGAACATCGCCGGGAGGAGGTAACCCAGACCTCCCCCGAGCTCCCCGACTCCGCACCGGGCCTCGGAAATTCCCACGGGCGCCGTTTAAGATCTCCGAACTCACGGTTTTAAAAAAGAAAACCCTCAACGGGGGTGAAGCACCATAAACAGCAGCAGAAAAAACCAAAAACAGCAATAGAGAAGCAGACTCCCCGAGACGGTAAATAGGTAAATACCGTAATTAACAGGAACGAAATACAAAACAGCCACAGTCACTCACTTCAGGAAGGTTTTTGTTTCTTTTTAGCCCTCACCGGAGGATACTGTTTCCATCGCTTTCCAGGGAGAGTGGAGGGGAGACAGAGAGACACATGGATGTGAGAGCGACGCACGGACAGGCCGCCTCCCGCACCCCCCCCGCCGGGGCCGGGGATCGAGCCTGCAACTGAGGTACGTTCCCTTGGCTGAGACTGAACCCAGGGCCCTTCAGTCCAAGGGCCGGTGCTCTAACCACTGAGCCAAACCGGCCAGGGCTGCGCCCACATTTTGCATGCACTTTGGGTACTGCCCGGGCGCACTTCGTGGGCGAGGCGCGGCCCCTCGCACAGGGCGCCGCTGACTTCAGCACCGCGCCGCCGGACAGCTCCCCGCACCCCGGGGCGGGCAGGGTGCCTCTGGGGCCTCCAGCCTCTCTCTGAAGCCGCAGGCGCTGGTCCAGTAGGAGCAGCAAGAAGTCCTGTGAGTGTAATGCCCCCCAGGAGCAGCCCACCTGTCCTCTCCTCCAGGGGGAAAATCCTGGGGCGTGTTCTACACAGTTCTTCAGTTAACTTCATCAAAATTTAAAACCTCTGTGCTTCAAAGGACACCAGGAAAGGGCGAAGATGACCCATAAAGTGGGAGAAAACATTTGCAAATCGAATAACCGCTATGGGACGGTACCCAGAAAATATAAAGTACTCTTAACAATAAGAAGACAACCTAATTTTTAAAATGGGAAAACATTTGACTAGATGGCTCTCCAAAGAAGATAAGCACATGAAAAGATGCTTCGCATCATTAGTCTTTAGGGGACTGCATCTCAAAACCACAATTAGTTACCACTTCACACCCACAAGGATGGCTACAATAAGAGGTGTGGGCCGGACGTGAAGAAGTTGGACGCCTCATGCCTTTCTGGAGGGAACAGGAAATGGAGCAGTCAACGTGGAACACAGTGGCAGTTTCCCCAGAAGCTAAACATGCTGCTGTTATATGACCCAGCAATTCCATGGAAGGGCTATGTGGTTCCAAGCAGTGGTGGCTTTCCCCACGAAGCAGGGTGTCTTGACCCAAGGCCGTGACCGCCTGCTGCTGAGGAAGGGGCATTCCTCTTACGGCCCAAGGAGGGTGGAGAGAGTGCAAATCTGTCTGGGGGTTGCACTGTGGATGCGAACCTCAGTGTTCTCAACCTGGTCATTGTAAGGAAAGGGGAGAAAGCTATTCCTGGCCTCACTGATACTATAGTGCTTTGTTGCCTGCTGCCCGAAAGAGCTAGCAGAATCCGCAAACTTCAGTCTCTAAAGAACATGATGTCTGCCAACGTGCTGTGAGAAAGCCCCTCAACAGAGAAGGTAAGGAATCTAGGACCAAAGCACCCAAGATGCAGCGTCTCGTTCCTTCACGTGTCCTGGAATACAATCAGCAGCGTGTTGCTCTGGAGAAACAACGTACAAACAAAAATAAAGGAGAGGCTGCAGAATTTGCTAAAGTTTTGGCTAAGAGAATGAAGGAGGCCAAAGGAAGACGCCAAAACAGATTGCCAAGGGACGTAGGCCGTCTCTCTGAGAGCGTCTCTTCTACCTCTGAGTCTGAGTCCAGTCAAAGATGAGATTTTCTAAGAGTAACAAGTAAATAAGAGTGGATGTTAAAAAAAAAAAAAAAAAAAAAAA